GTTGATCAAAATAAACCAGGTCCCAAAGACCATATAATGTGACTATATTTCCTTGAGTCGCAAGGTCTGAATTAGTGCCCATCACATCCTACAGGTTTTGCTTAACCAGCTGTATGTCAAGAAATCCCCATAGGCAGAAATCCTCATGATGGCAGGGGTCCTTCTATCTTGCTCATCACTGCACTCTGTCCCCTGAAGCAGGTACAGAGACTGAGATATAGGAAGTAGTTATTGAACATTAGGAGTATAAAGAATGAAAGGGGCAGGAGTTTGACGCAGTAGCTGAGATGCTATTTGAAATATTTGCATCTCATATCAGAGTGCCTGCATTTAAGCCCTAATTCACTTGCTGAATCTGGATTCCTGCTCATTTGTCCCTGGGAGGCAGCCGTAACAGCTAAAGTGACTTGGTTGTCGCCACCCACACGAGAGACCAGGATTGGGTTTCAGATTTTTGACTGTGACCTGGAAAAGCACGGAATATTGCAAGTATTTAGGCAAAAGGAACCTGCAGTTGGGAGATAACACTGTCCCTTCTCTTTGTCTCTCAAATAAATAAACTTTAAATTATGAGGCCCAGCTCGATAGATCAACTGGCTAATCCTCCTCCTTCAAGTACTATATGGGCACCAGTTTGTATCCCGGCTGCTCTGTTTTCTTTTCAGCTCCCTGCTGTGGCCTGAGAGCATCAAAGGACGGCCCAAAGCCTTGGGACCTTGCACTCTCATGGGAGACCTAGAAGAAGCTCCTGGCTTCAGATTGGCTCAGTTCTGGCCATTGCAACCACTTGGGGAGTGAACCAGCAAATGAGAGATATTTATCTCTGTCTCTCCTTTTCTCTGTAAATCTGCCTTTCCAATCAAAATTTTAAAAAAATCTTTTTAAAAATGGGGGTGAGGGAACAAAAGATTGATAGATAGTGTATGATTTAGAATAATTAACTTCCAAAAGAGATACACTACTGGTGTATTTCTGAATATAACTCATAGGAGTACAGGTACCTTGGCTGTTACCAGACATTGTAGGGTTCAGGAGGGAAAAGCATTGCTTTCTGTGAATTCCCAGAAGTGAGAACTCCACTGTGGAGGATTTGTGCAACGCATGTGGCTGCTGTCCTTGGTCCTGAAAGTGTTGTCCTTCCAGTCACCCTGGTCTGCTAGTGACTTCTGACCACTCTCCAGACGTGGACATCTGTTTTACCAGAATTTTCTGAGAATTCTAAGAAATACAAACTCTAACCAGCAGCTACTAAAAAATAAACATTCTGAAGACTAAAGGGAGAGATTTATGTGCCAGGAGTCCGTAGCTTCTGTGTATCCATCAACTAGAACAAGTCAGCTGCCTGGAGTTGATTTGACCTGAAGTCCTTGATGCTGATCCACCCTAAGTGTGCACAGATTCCCTTGAACTGGCTGGAAGAGAGAAGTCCCAGGAAAGGCCAAGAATTGCAGATACGATGAACAATGTTCTCTCTCCATCACCCACCTGTCACTGGTGATGGCAGCCAAAAATCAAGACAAAGAAACCAGAGTGGAAACCCAGTGTTACCATAACACTAACAGCACATCAGGGGATCTGTTTCATATCTGGAATCTCCTTCCAGGAGCAGTCAAATCAGAATGGTCAGGGTGGTCCTTCAGGTGTGTGGAGGGGCAAGAGCTGAATTTAAATGCACACCAGAGTCCCTCAGTGGCTTGCAAAGAAACCCCGTTGCTGTTTCCCAGAGCTTCTGCTTCAGCAGCTCCGGACAAGGGTCCAGGTGCTCAGTCGGTGCTGACTCTGCCTGTCGTAGAGAAACCATGGAACCCCACTGCAGCTGGTACTTTCAGCATCCTCCCTCCTCGCTTCCACCTGCTGTTTTTGTGGATACCAACTCCTGATTGTTGGCTTATTTCGGAAGCTGACCAGCACTGGGCCTCTGTAACTACACCCTCCCTCTCCTGGTCACCAGGTTATCCTTCCCCCTTCTTCCTCTTCTAACCTTGGCAATCCTATCTGGCATCAACCCACTGTACCCAGGTATTAGGATTCCAGGAAAGGGAAGTGTATAGCTGGGTTTACCTCATTCAGTTGTTCACACCACGAGTCCCTGTTTTGCCACAGTAATACAGCTGCTTATAATGCTTCCTCACAGAGAATCATCTGAAAAATGTGCAAGCATTTCTGGAGTCTTAAGGTGTGCCATGGCCTGTTTTATGATCCCAGCTAAATTCTATTGCCTATCTTGAATCTCAGTTTTCTGACCCATACAACAAGGGGATTGAAGGAAATCATTACGAAAGACTCTTAACTAACCTCTATAAGGCAAATACTTCTCTAGGACATGAAAGAATGAGTGGCTAGCTCACTTTAGCAATAGAATTAGGCTTACCTCAAGAGAATGAAATACACTAACCATGAACAAGGTAAAAACATGCATCCATAGCAACAACAAAAATTATGGGCTTATTAAAAATAGAAAATGATCATTGAAAACATCTGTGTTCATCTTTTGGGCACTTAGAGGAAAATGGTTTAGCTGAGACAGAGGATTCAGCTGTTCGCTTTGATCCGTTTGTGATTCCATGAAAACTACTGTCACTTCCCAAAGATTCTTACTTGCGTATGTGTGTGCATGCATGAATGTGTGTGTGTGTGTGTGTCAGAGAGAGAGGTATCTTATTTACTGTTTTCAACTTCCAAATGCCCACAGCAGCTGGGCCAGGCCATAGTTAAGAGCCAGACATCACATCCCATCTCCCCAGGAGTGCCAGGAAGTCAAGGACTTGGACCATCTTCTGCTGCCTCCCAGGTGTATTACCAGGGAGCTGGCTCAGAGGCGGAGGAGCCAGGACTCAACAGGCTTGCCGATATGGGACACACATTAATTCCCTGCATCACAATGCCACCCCTACCCACCAAACCCTTCTTACCAACATGTTCGTCACCAGTTGGTAAGTAGGAAAGGCAGGTGACAAATGCAGCACCCACAGCATGACTTTGTGTTGTGTGCTGATTGAATCACAGCAAGGACATCTCTGGGAAAATGAGACGGCACAAAACTGACTGCCTCCATGCTCTCTGGGTGATTAAATTAAGGTTGTTTGGAAGCTGTGTTGTTTTAGCGTTTACTTTTGCTGCTTCAATAGAAAAGCACAAATGTTTTTCAAAACATCTTATCTCTGACACATCCCAAGCAGTACAAACCTTTGGGAAAAAACATTGTGCCACAAATGTTATTTCATCAGCAGAGACCAAGCGGTCTGCAAGGGGAGCATTAGGGTTCTCTGAAGGCTTGTGTCCAAGACATGGTTGCCTGCCCAGCCCTCTATCTACAGCCTCTGTTGATGATATCCTCCTGGGAAAACAGGGATGGTTTCCTTGTGTTTTCAGGTTTCAGGTGGAAACTTTGTGGAAGGTTGTGGCTGTACCTAGCTTCTAATTACCACAGTGTCCTACCTCAGGATTCTGAGCTTGGCAACACAGCTTTCTTTGGTCCAAGTGAGTGCTAACCAGCATGACAGAAACAGGTGTGCAAAAGTGCATATGCAGTGGAGCCTGTGCCTGCAGTGTTGCCATGTCCATGGACTGAGCATCCTACTCAAGACCACTGGCACCAGGAAAAAGGGGGAGAATTGTAAAGAGCTGAGCATCTCCTGCTGGACTGCTCCAGCCAGTGTGGACATGTGAACGGGCGATCTGCTGACAAACAAGTGAGCTCTAATAATTAAGCATTGTTGCATCAAGCTTCTAAATTTGGGGGTGGTTTGTCATACAGTTAACCTAATAAGGAAGATATCTTGGAGTACAATTTACAGAGGAGAAAACGGAGGCTTTGAAAGGCTCAGACTTTTACAGCCAGGCTCTGTCACATGTGTCATCATCTTAAGCATATGCTGTTACCTTAAGTCCCTCAGTAACCTATGAAATAAGTTCTAGGGTTACTATGGCATTTTGCATATGAGGAGACAAATAACTTGCCTGAAGTCATGGAAGCAGCTCCTGGCAAGTCTGGTGGTGAAGCCCTCCAGATTTAAGCTCCTTCATCTCGCTGGGCTCCGTCCACTGCAGCAAGCTGGAGGAGGAGGGTGTGGCATAGGTACCAGGATGAAGTTTACAGTCTACATAAGAAGACAAGCTAGACACACCTGAGACATTCTACAGTATTCCCGAGCCAAGGACACTGGTCATTGTTCTTGCTCTTAATTCTTCTTTCCCTGAAAGCTCCTGCAGCCACTCCACCCTTTCCACGCATCACCATTAGAAAGCACCTTTTTCAACCTTTGCACTCAACTGCCAGGATGTTTCTTGGTTTGAGGCGTCTGCATGTGTTAAAGGACTTCTGACTATGTTGAGAAACTGTCCTATATAAGACAGCTAGCTTACTGCCTCGGACCTTACCATTTCAAATAATTCTAAAGGCCAGATTTTCTCAATTTGGTAGGTACCGTGTTCTCATAACTCCGTGGGGATGGGGTCGCTACGATCTGTGCATATCTCAAAGTTTTTAACTTTCACTTAATCTAGCAAAAAGAAAAAAGTCAAGAAATTTAAAAACCCACTCTAGAGCCAGACGCTGGACGGCCGGTATAGAACAGAGTGGGAAGAAGCCATTGGAATGAGGATGGAGATTTTGTATGAGTAGCTGGTTTGCTGTAGAATTACATACTTTTAAACCATGTCAAGTTTTTAATTACTTTGAATTCGTAAATGAAATTGGATCGTTGGTTTAGCTCGCTCATAAAGTTATCCTCAAAATTCCCATCATTGTAAGCTCCACGATTCCGAACGCAAACTACAACTCCCATGATTCCGCAGGTTGGGGGGCGGTGTTCGTCTTCGGATTACAACTACAATTCCCAGATCCCCTAGGACCTGCGCCTGCGCAAAGCTCCGCGCTGGGCTGGCCAGCCAAGCAGACGCGCGGCTGACACCTGCGAACCCCGCGGCGGCGACAGCTGTCTAGACGACCCATCGGTACCTGCGATCTCCGCCTGGACCTCTCGGGCTCGGAGTGGGCGCTGGAGGCCGGCGGCGGGGTGGACAAGCCGGCGTCGCAGAGGTGGCTTCAGTGCTGCCAAGGCTGGGCTTCAGGTGAGACGGGTGCGCCCGGGGTTGGCGCAGCCTCCGCGCCCCCGCCGGCTTGGGGTGGAGGCATCTGGCCCTAGAAGCTCGTCCCTTAGGGCCCGGCGCGCGTGCTGGGCCTGAGGTGAGCCCGAGATGTGAGGATGCCTTCAGGGTCCGGGCGGAGTTTCCAATACGAGGCAGTAACTGTGTTGCGGCCCGGAGGAGGCTCGCAGGTGGGCGGGAGGGTGCTGGTGGATGGGAACTCTCGGGGTCCCGGCGCCTGGTGCGAAGTGGCACCCCCAGACCTGCCGGCTGAAGCCCTAAACTCGTGGTGGGTCCTGGTCACAGCCCCCCCCCACGCCCTTTCTCTTGGGGGTAGGGGCACGGGAGCTGCTGTGGGTGATGCTGTGCTTTGAGCGCTGGTGGCCAGGAGGCTGGCAAGGTGCACCGAGGGGTCCCAGGCCTCCCGAGCTGTGCCTCGTGGGGCACAGGAGGACACCTGCAGAATGCCCTGTGATGATAGCCTGCCCAGGCCTGGTTGACCATGCCAGGGTAGCCTGTGAAGGAAGAGCCCGGTGGACCACCGATCCCATGCCTGTTTGTGTGCGCGCGCACCACCTGGTACCCATCCACTGGTGGGATTCCTCCGCTGAAGGGTGGGATCCTCGGGCCAGGAACCTGCTTACGTCAACAGCCGCACTGAGCCTCCCCTTCCCAAATGGGAAGAGTTCAGTTGAAGTCTTCGGGGGTGAGCTTGTTGGCGCTGAATGGCTCTGAGCTCACCCGGTTGCTCGGATCACGCAGATTGGGTGTCTGGCTCTGGGTAGCTGTGGGTCCTTGGATGCATTGTTCGCTTCCTCCAAACCTCCTTTTTCCGCACAGTGGAGAGGATGGTTCCTTCCTCACTGGCTGGTTCTCCTAGACTCGGGTGAGTCCCCAGCCCAGGGGCTAGGTGTGGATCACACGTGCCTGTGGGCTGATGCTAGCACCAAGAGAGATTCGAACCGGTCTCTGTCCTCTCGGAGGCTGGCTCCCAGGTGACTGAGCGTGGGGCAGACATAGGTCCCCCATTCTCAAAGATGGCCAGCCTGGCTGCTCTCAAGCCCGGGGTCCCTGGAAGGATGAAGGAGAGGGAGGGGGCTGGAGGCCCTCGGACAGCAGCAGGTCGAGCCGAGGCCGGTGCTGGGGCACTATGCACATCCCTGGAGCCTGAAGGTGCTGGCATGTCACAGCCACTAAAGTGTTTTTGACCCAGCTTCTCGTTGGCAAGTTCCTGCTTTGAGCTTTTCTTTAGAAAATATTGAGTACCTCATGGAGACTGAGCCAACCAAAAAATGAAATTAGCAAACGCCACATTCCCAAGGGTGCTTGCCAATCCCAGCCTGTTGCCAGCAGGGAAGGTTTCCCTCAGGACCTGGGATCGTGTGGTTCCCGGGACTTTGAAGACTGGATAAAGCAATCATTGTGAAAGGCGGAACACACAGCTACCACCCAGGATTCACATTCCAGCCCCACTGCTTAACAGCTGTGGGAGACAGCCATCCCTACAGTGCCTCTGGGCATACGTTCCTGAATGGGAACTGGCATTCATGACACCTGCAGCACGTTTGTGGTAGGTAAGGCAGGTCAAGCTCATGGCAGTGTGCCTGGCATGGCTTAAGAACCAGGGAAGGGGGAAGTGTCATATCACTATTAGGCTGATGCCAAAACGATTGTCAGAACCAGGGCCCTTCCCTTCTGCTATCTGCCAGCTGTGGTCTTGGCCATCCTTGAGGTCCAGGTACCTCCTGGGGAGCCTGAGGCAGCAGGGGAGTGTCCTTGCACCGTTTGGCCTGGACATTGGACCCCACAGCCTGGCTCTACACATTTTTCTCTCTGCGTGCTCTTGGGTGAGGAGGGGGCTGGCTGCTGGGCGAGTCTGGGGGCTGAGGTGTTAGGAAGAGGCAGCCCATGGACACCATGGGGCCTCCGCGGGCTCCCCGCCTCCCGCACAGCCTCTCCCTCAGAGCGGGGTGGGACCTGGAGAAGCTGGTTATGAGAAGAATGTGCTTGTTGCGCTGCTGGGAGAGTCGGATGGGGCACTGCCTCTGTGCACCCAGTCAGTCCCTACTTTGCGCAAGGGCAACCTCGAGGCTGGGCGTAAGGAGAAGATCCCCTAGGCTGCCATTTTAATCCTGTGAGCTCACAGTGCCTCCCAAGACCTTGTGTTTATTAAAAGTTAAAACAAATCATTTCCAAGGGTTCTTTTAGGTCTGACAAGTGGGGTTTTATAACTCCATGTTAATGGCTGACCCACCCAGCTTAACACTAAGGTATCTGGGATGGTTATCACCCTGATGTGTCTGTCACCTGTGTTTTCCTTGGGGCGAGAGCAGCCACAGCACCCCAAGCCACCTGTCACAGCCACATACCCTTTTTGCCTAGCTAGCTGGGGAGTAATTACAGCGAGAAGCCTTGGGTTGCTAAGTTACCACCGAGGGCCTGCGGGTCTGGTTTCCTAGCACATCCAGACCTGCCTTGCTCTTTGTATAATAAAAACCCTTGGCCCTGGGGTCTGCCAGGCTTCTCTGTGTTCCTCCGAGGCTCTGGACCGATGAGCAGGGTATCCACCCCCGGGTCACAGGCGCATTCAAGCCCTGGTGCTCTGAGCTTGAGCCTGCAGACCCTTAAATATTAACTCATGAAGGCTCAGTTCCTAGAATGAAAAGAAAACAGGGACAGTACTAGTGGGAAGGCTTTTGAGCGGTTCCCAAGAAATGTGCCAGGAAGAGGGCAGGGGTGTGCCTGGCACCCAGTAGGTGTTTAGTAAGTGAAGATGGGGGGTGGGCAAGTTTAGGCTCTTCTGTCTGCTCCAGAGGCCAGCGTCCTCTCGTCTTGACGTGGCCTGGCTGGGAGTCGATCCTTCCACATTGTCTGTGCCTCCCGTCTTTCCTGGAACACCAGGACTGCAGTGGAATACATCGGGAGGTTGTTCTTCCCCTGGTTTTGTAAGGCACAACCGAGTTCCTTCCTTGCCGTGTCCTGGGCGAGGCTTCAGGCAGGGAATGGGGGCCCTGGTCTGATGTCTGTCCCATGGCTGCCTTTTCTCATGCAGGCCCCGGGTTGGGTTGTTCAGGACGTGCCCTGTGGTGAGGCACATCCAGGACTCTGGCAGTGCAGTTTTGTGGCGGGAATCAGAGCACATCCCGGGGCGGGGGGTGGGGGCACCAGTGGTGCTTCCGGGAGGGCAGCAGTGGCCATTGTAAGGAACTGGAGCAACAGCACCCCTAGCTGTGTTCAGAGGCTCCTTTCTCAGGGGACCTGCCCTCTCTCTGCCAGCCTGCAGGGGGTCCCTTTCTGTCTCCTACTGGTGGCCACTTTAGACTAGGCCCCCCCCCTTAGTCCATTTAGCTGTGGCCAAGAGAGCTGGATTCATTTCTTGCCATGCTGCCCTACAGGCACTGCAGGCTGTGTGGGCGGAGTGGGTCAGGAGCTTGGAGGATGGCAGGACCCTCCGTCTCCTGCAAGGCAAGCTTGTACATCTCAGCAGAGGCTGGGGACAGAAGTCACTTAGCCTGTATTGATGGCAGGGATATCCTTGATTGACTGAGCTGGACAGAAACGCCTTGCTGAGTGTTACACAGTTGTGCTACTAAGAGCACACAGAGGGACCACATGGTTCCCAGGGTGATGGCCGATGCTGCCGACGCATGGCTCACTCTCCACTTTGCAGAACCTCACAAGAGCACCCGCCACTTGCCATGCCGAGCCCTCACCTCCCTAGGGACTCTCCCTGCTCTTCCCAGAGCAGCCTGCACAGTTATGTCCCCGCAGTGTGCATGTGCACTTGGGGGCCGTGGTTGCCTGGTGGGCCCAGCCACGGAGAAGGGGTGGCCTCCCAGCCCTAAGAGCTTGGGCCAGTGGCTTCTCCTCTGCAGGGGAGCAGCTCTGTTCCTGCATGGATGAGATGGGGCGTCTGAACCCTTGCTGGTCCTGGCTGCCCCCGGGTGGTGAGAGAGACTCACCCAGGGTGAGGTCATTTGATGCTGACGCGTGAGACCAACGCCTAACAAAGAGCATAACCTGCCTCCAGTCACACAGAAACCCAAATTGAGGAGCATTCTAGAAAATAGCTGGCCTTTTGGCTCCTAACAATGGGCGAGTTCATAAAGCAGGAGGATAGACTGAGGAGCCGCCCTGATGACCAATTGCATGCTCAATCCAGGATTGGCTCTGCACCATGGACCAGAGGCCACGGCCCCACACCAGTGCCCTCTCAGCACAAACTCCCTGGGCTCATGTATTTTATGTAAGGCAATTTTCTGCTTCTTAGGAAACACAGTAAAGTGTTAAGAGCTAAAGGAGCAAGATGTCTTTAGCGTATCTTTAAAGGAATCAGAAGAGTTTGAAAAATATAGAAAGAGAATGATAAATGTATCTAATTAGCGATTGGTGTGTCTAGGTAAGAATGTGGGAGAACTTTTTACCTTACATATTCAGCTTGTAAATTTGAAATGATTTCCAAATGAAAAGAGAAAGCTGGCAGTCTTTGGTCAGTCTCCCTGAGGCTCAGCCAGCTTTCTAACTTCTCAGAACTGGTCTTACTGTTTATGAAGAGCAGCAGCTCTGGGGAACCCCTGGTGTTAGCTCTGAACCTGTCATCATCAGGAAAGGGAGGAGTTGGGGGGACAGTGTGGTCATGGGGAACCCCTGGTGTTAGCTCTGAACCTGTCGCCATCAGGAAAGGGAGGAGTTGGGGGGACAGTGGGGTCACGACACCGAAGGAAAGCCCAAATAGAGGCCGGTCATCCGTCTTCTGTCTGATGCCTTCAGGCATCTGGCCAGGACTGCTCAGACCCTGGCCATGGCATGGCCTCCCCGGGGAAGCCCCTGGCGCTGTCATCAGCTGCCTTGTGTGACACTGCCCATGCCTGCTCTGCAGTCCTGGCACTGAGTGTGCAGTGCCCACTGGCCTGCAAGCAGTTGTGGGCCAGGCCATCGCTGCCCTAGGGTAGGGCAGAACCCCGTGCCCTGGCGGCCTCCTGACT